AAAAAAAAAAAAAAAAAAGATAAATATGTTCCTTACAGCATTACTGATGACAGACAAATTATAAATAACCTAAATATCGACCGAGAGAGGAAGAGTCAAATTACAGCAAATCCACATGATACAATAATACAAAATATGACCAAAATAAAGACCATATTACTATATAAAAATCATTAATGAAATGTTTATGTGATTATAACTGTTCAAGAAAAAAATACAGAAGCAAATATGGAAATACAAAAATTGGGACAGAATGTAAAAAATGGCAGATTTTCTTTTCAAGTTTCTTTAATATTTCCGTAAAGCTGAGCGGAAAATAATCTAAATTTATCCTGTGTGAATGTTAAAAAAGTAATGTATTAAGTTATTTAGGTATAAATACAGATGAAGAACTTTTTAAAAGGTTTCTGCTTAAAAAAGCTAAGCCCAAATTGAAAAGAGTTTTTGCTCTGCTGTATAAAGTCTGCATGTTTGACCTTTTCCACATTAAGGCACACTGTCATTGTTTCTGGCAATTATCCGAGACCTCCTGTTGCTGGGAGACATTTCGAATACAGCAGGTAGCTAACTGTGGTTCCGGGGCAGCAGAGGGTGGACTGCAGGAGGCCATCCCTCCGCCCTCCGCCACGCCGGGGAGGCAGGATCCGTCCCTCGGGAAGCCCACGCGGAGCCCACCGTCCTCACTTTCCTGCACGTGCAGCTGCCGCTTCGCTTAAAGTGAGCTTTGCCCACGAGATGAAGCCTTTCTGCCATCCCCCGGCTGCTGGTTTCCTGAATCAAGCCATCGCAGACGACTGGCTTTTTTGGTGAAAAGTTTATTTTAAAGATTTATCTGAGGCTATCAGCTCCTTTCTAAAATTGGTTTCCACCCATCTAATACCTACTGCTGCTCCCCCCAGAACATTTTCACAAAGGAAATAAGGTGAAGTTTAAATCTATATGAAAGTCACACCTGCCCATCCAGCTTTCTTGCTGTGACAAAGATGCAAATTTGCTCTCTGAGAGGTTTGTGGTTTTCCCTGTCACCTAAAATTAGGTAAGTCTCTGGTTCGACACCATACAACACCATGCCCGACACCTTCCACCACACTGTTGGAGAGTTCTCAAACGTGAGGTACGGCAGCACTGAAGCAGCAGCCAAGTTTCTGATTAGCTGTGACATCTACAGAGAATACGGCACCGAAATGAGAACCACACAAACACCCTAGAAAATGACACGAACAGGCGGCGGGGCTCCAAGACTGCTCAGATGGCAAATGACCCCCTTCAAACCAGGGGACGCCAAGCTCATACAACAAAGCAGTCTTAGTTAATCGGTGAAATCGAAATTACATTCTAAGGCTTCAGATGCCCCTTCTAGTTCATCAGCAGCGTGGAGGGCAGGAACACAGGCCACCCCCCAGCTCCCTCCAACACAGCAGCACAGACCACCGGAGTCCACCTCGGCCTCTGGGGGCCTGAGCACTCCGAGTTAACCCAAAAGCACCACCCACAAAGGGACACTTGACCGATGATTTATGATCACAATGATTCATAACAAAATGAAGACTCTCAACGTCAACGGGGAGAGGGAAAATTGTAAATTTTTCCTAGTAACGTTCTTACAGTGTCCGCAATCTCCTGATTTTACCCTTAGTACAGGAAAGTGCATTAAGACCCTGAGAGTATTAATGGTGTTCATAGTTCAATGACGTTATCAGCAACGCCAGTCAGGCCTTCGGCTTGGGGCACTAAGGAGAAAGGGAGGATCCAGGCCATGGCAAGGCTAGCGAGGGTACAGCAGAGCCAGGAAGCCGCGGGTGGAGGAGGACAAAGGTCTGCAGGACAGGAGGAAGTGCCGGCGCGGCCTGGACTGGGTGCTCTGGCTTGGGCCTGACCCCAGGGGGTCAAGAAGTCAATCTCTGATGCTGGGGAACTGTCAACTGTGTCACCACGGCGATGTTAAAAGTATCAAGTGCTCATCTGAGACTGCACACGGAAATATGTGCAAATGACGCTGGCTGAGGCCTGACCATAGCCAAAGAATGGGCAGGAGACGGGGGGACAAGGTGGACAAAATGGTTGTAACTGCTGAAGCTGCGAGTTCATTAAACTCCTCTCTCCTTTTGTGCACATTTGACTATTTTCATAAGAAAAAGTTTTTTGAAAAGTTAGTCTTTACTTACAGTATCAACAAGCTCTAAAAAAGTAAAGAGCTGCTTTAAAACGGCAGCCTTAATAGTTCACCTCAACTGGCCGCCGCCCAGTTACACATTACCCCGAAAACGCAGCAAGGAAGGAGGGGAGGTGCTCACCGCCGGCTCCTCATTCAGCGTCTGCAGCATCCAGTTTTCCAGCGTCTGGAAGTCCCGAGGACCCTGGTACTTCACAGCTTCTTGGCCAGGCCTGAAAAACTTTAAGCTGCAAGAATAACAAAGCAGTAGACAGAGAAAAACATTAAAGCCCTTCTAGCTGCTTGGAGTTGAGAGCACTGTCTTATCAGGGAGCAAAGTCATTTAGTGAAACAATCGGAAAATGAGCTGTCAAGGAGCTGCAGCCAGGCACATATCTGCCACTCGCTGATAACACCTGAAAAGGAAACAAAAATAATGCTCTAGGAGATAATAAATTCACTTAATCCTAAACTTTTAGACAGTTCTTATTTTATTCAAGGAAAATAAATCCAAGGTGAAAACTTCCAGCCTCCCACTGTGACCTAAACCCCAAGTTGCAAGTGTTCAGTGTGTTTATAGCACCTTTGGGCTTTTCTCTGCTGGGTGGGAGTGTGTGTGTGTGTGTGTGTGTGTTTAAACAAGGACTGTGGCAGATACAGCATCGTTTTCGAATAAATGTATCCTTCTAGGCTATCTTGGCAGGTATCTGAGGCTTACAAAGCATGAATATAGTCACTACGAGAATTCAAATTTCTGACCATAAACATCCTTGACATTGGTTGATGTAGCCCATTCACTTCCCCACAGAGAAGGACTCTTCTTTTTACTATGTCGGCCTCTGAAGGAATCTGCAGAGAGGATACAGGAGCAGTTCCTTTAATGGCAGGCAAAAGACATGATCACAGGGTGAAACTAACACTCCTAGTTCCTGAGTCACCCACTGGTCATGGGAAAACATGCTCTAGGTAAAACTTAGTAAAAGTGTCAAGGGTAGGGGAAAACGTGGCTATGGACAGAAGAAAAAAGCAACACAGACTGGTATTTGTTGGCAAGTCTATTCATCAAAAACACCCCTAACACTTCCACAGCACGGATGTGGATTTTGTGAGTAGAAGCCCAATATACAGTAATAGAATTGTAAGCAGCCAAGATATGCAGAAATTACATTTGAAGGTTTGAAGAGAGTGTTAGTTCGACAGCTATAACAGAACACTACGGACCGGTGGCTTATAGACAGAAATTTATTTCTCATAGTTTTGGAGGCTGGCAAGTCCAAGATCAAGGTGCTAGCAGATTCGGTGTCTGGTGAGGGCTTCCTGGTTCATAGATGATGCCTTCTCGCTATGTCCTTGCATGGCAGAAGGCACAGGAGAGCTCTCTAGGGCCTCTTTTATAAGGTGCCTAATCCCACTCATGAGGGCTCCACCCTCATGACCTAATCCCCTCCTGAAGGCCCCACCTCCTCATACCATCACATTGGAGGTTAGGATTTTAATGAGTAACTTTTGGGTGATACAAATATTCAGTCCATAAAAAATAGCCAACTCCCCTTAAAATGAAGTCTCACAGCCATATGAGAAAACCAGCACCTTGGCTAGATTAGACATTTAAATTAAAATGGGCACACTAGCTTTACCCAGAACCTGCCCAAGTCTGAGATTCTTCCTTAATAAAGTCACAGAGCCCAGGGACAGAACTGGAGCGTCTGCTACGAACCTTCCAGTTGGTCTGGGCCATCTGACTTCAATTCTCACTGCCGCTGGAGGTGAAGGAGATGGGCCACAGGGTACAAGCCCAAAGCGCAGCCCCAGACTTTCCCACTGTTACCAAACCTCCACAAGGACATGTCTATCTCCTGGAGATTTGTTTCTCTTTCAAGGAGACTGCAGGGGAAAAAAATCCTCACTTAGGTGTCACTTTGGAAAACAGCAAGAGGAACCTTCTACTACTATAGGCAGTGTTATGGGTTAAATTGTGTTCCCCAAAACAGATCTGTGTGGTCCTAACCCCCAACCCCACAGTGTGACCTTATTTAGAAATAGGGTTTTTACAGAAGTAATCGAGTTAAAATGTGGTCATTAGGGTAGGCCCTAATCCAGTGTGGCTGGTGTCCTTATAAGAAGGGGAAATTTGGACAGAGAGACACGCATGCAGGCAGAGGGCCACATGAAGACAGCGGATTGGAGCGATGCACCTATTAGCCAAGGGATGCCGAATGTTGCCTGTACACCATCCGGAGCCAGGAAGAGGCAAAGAAGGATCCCTACAGGTTGCGGGGGGAGCATGGCCCTGCCGACTCCTTGACTTCGGACTTTTAGCCTCCAGGTCTGTGGGACAACGCATTTCTGTAGTTCTCAGCTCTCAGCCGTGTGGTGCTCTGCTACAGCAGCCCTAACAAAATACAGGGGTTTCCCTCCTTCAGTCTCGCCCTGCTGAGTTTCCCAGACGTAATGATTCTTCACTGGCTCACCAGGAAGACCTCCAAACGTTTTCCTGACCACAGGGGGCCATCTCTAGTGGCTACAAGAGCTCACACCCGCTCCCTCTCCAATCCTTTGCTCCAGTTAAACTTGCAGGGAAAGAATGACAGAAAAGCTGATATACGGGTGCACACCCCAGCTCAGGCATTTACAGTCGTCATCTGAGTCAGGTCCCACCACGACTCCATTCGATGGGTACTATTTTAGAGGAATAAAAGCTCACACAGATAAATCTATAATTGCCCCAATGTGACCACATTTTGTACAATACACTCCACTGCCTGTATTCTATGGGAAAAAATATGTTCCCGAGAACTTCTGCAGGGCTATGATGGTCACAGAGGTTCCTTCCCATTCCATGTCCAGAGTAGTGTGAGCTCATCTTTATTATGTATTTTTATTTATTTATTTTGAGACAGGGTCTCACTCTGTTGCCCAGGCTGGAGTGCAGTGGGCCGATCCTAGCTTGCTATAACCTCGATCTCCTGAGCAATCCTCTTGCCTCAGCCCCCGAGTAGCTAGGGCACACACCGCCAAAGTTGGGTAATTTTTCTTTATTTTTTGTAGAGATGGGGTCTCGCTCTGTTGCCCAGGCTGGACTCAAACTCCTGGGCTCAAGCAATCCTCCTGCCTTGGCCTCCCAAAATGCTGGGACTACAGGAGTGAGTCACCACACCTGGCCTCACTTTCGTTCTTTTTAACAATACAAAACCAGTGCATGGTTTAATTGGAGAGACCAGCTCTTCTACTTAAAAATCAGGACCCATGATTCAACATGGATCTTTTTAAGTTTGTGAATATCACCCTGGAGTAACTGATGTTGCAGTCAGATAGCTGTTATGAGCAGGTCCAGGTGGGACTCTGCACGTCCCTCTCTGAAGCCCCATAATGAGTGCCCTTCTCAGCCCTAGTCGAGTTCCCATTTCACCTTCCCTGTGACATGGTTTATGGCACACACAGCCACAGAAGGTCAGCAGTTTAAGAGTGGAAAGACAGCACAGCCAGCCCATCTTTGCTGCCCCTGAATTTGAAAGTAACAGACTCTGAACAGGTAAGCAATTTCCTCCTCATCCTACTACGCATCACCCGCTTCCTCAGGACACTCCTGATCCAGACTTCAAAGGCGTTGCTGTGATGCATACATAGGACAGTGAATGCCTGCATATAAGTACACATAAAATAGCAGGAAATTTTATGTCCATTGAGCTGATTTGATGTAGATTCAAATTATGGCACTTAGATTAGCAAGCAGCCACCAAAGACCAAGAGTTCCAGTATCCTTTATGGAAATGCCAAATTTCCAAATGGTAGGGGAAACTCTAATCTGGATGTGCTCGGATTGGTGTCTGCACACACGCTTTTCCATGTAGCTCCAATAACAATGTTATGAGGGGCGGGTACCACCCCGCTACTTAGACTCAGAAGTCGAATGATGTAGCCAGAGCTGCATGGGAAGGAAACGGTGGAGCTGGGATTCAACCGTGGCTTCTAGGTTCCAGTCCTGGGTTCCCTCCACTTTTCCACAATGCCCCTCAGGTCTGGAGATAAGCTCTGATTTTATGCTTAATCGATGGCCCCCTATATTATCCAATTAATAATGAATTATATGGAACTGATTGCATTCCTCGACTGATAAATATTTAGTGAGCTGTAGTGGCCAACACCACCCCCGCACCCCTCAGTCCCCCACCGAAAATACCATCTTCCCTTTTTCAGGAAACTGCTTTTCCCTCCAACACTTGCCACGGGGTCTGAATGGGGACGCGTCTTCCTACAAGCTCCTGCCTCCCCGGCCACAACGACCATTCCCAGAATGGTCACTTTGTCCAAGCAGGGCCCTGCTCATGGTTGCCCAGAAGTAATGATTCTTTACTGGCTCAACAGGAAGACCTCAAAACGTGTTCCTGAGCATAGTCGGCCATCTCTAGAGGCTACAGGAGGAGCCCACGTTCCCTCCTCCAAGTCCTTCCCGGGGACAGAGCTGCACAGCTAGAAAGTCAGGTCACCTTCAGGGAGGTGCAGCAGAAACAAACCCCTAAACCCCGGATCTGAGACTCAAAGCTTCCTCCACAGCCTTTTAATTAATCCCCTTTTGTTTAATATGCCAGTTTCAATTTCTGTTTCTTATAACCAAAAAATCTCTTAACCGTCAAGGGAATAAGTAGCATTGCTTGTCAGAACCGCTGTACTCTGGTTGGTTACCTTCCTTTCCAACAGACACAGCCCTTGTCAGATGGGAAATAACTCTAGGAAGGGTGTTTGGGAATAAAAGTCTCCAAAAAATCAAACAAAAACTGATGACAAAGTCTGTGCACACACTGGTGAACATCAAATGTGGCGGGATCTCAGGAAGACCACCATTTTTGCCTTGCAAACATTTTCTTACAAAGAGGAAAAACCGACACTGATTAATTAAAGGCTTTTTCCAAACACAATACAAAAGGCATCTAAAATAGCCACAGCATTAAATATAATTTTTTCCCCAACAACTGCCTGCTTAAATTTAGCATCTCCTCACTCCTCAGAACTACAAAGGAGGTTACCAAAAGTTTAACTTGGACTTTCTTTGGCAGAACGTAGTCGGGAACAACCTGGAAAGCGTGCGCCCTTCCTTCCGACTTACGTGGGGTATCCTCGCACCCCCTGGGCGGAGCACACGTCCGAGCTGGCCGTGCAGTCCACCTTAGCCACGTAGACCTTGGCGTCTTCCATGCTGTTGTACTTGTCTCCCAGGTCATTCCAAGTCGGCTGCAGCCGCTGGCAGTGTCCACACCTGTAAGAAGGGAAGAGGAACAAGCACACTGCGTAACGAGCGCACTAGGTCATGGGGTGTCCAGCCCACAGTTTCAGCCCTGTCCACAGGACAACGGGGCTCTCGACCCTTTTTACACTGAAGCAGATGGCGGCTCACAACTACCCTGGGACCTCACTCCCCTGCTTCAACCCAGTCACAGTTGCCACGCTGTTCCCAGGATCAGAACGATGTCCTAGATCCCCCTCAGTCAGGCCCCTGCTGACCTCCCACTTGACCTCTATACCAGAACTCACCCTCCTTCCCTGGTGGCCTACTCCTGAGCCCAACTGCAGAATCTGCGGTTTTCTGAAAGGACTTGGGCCTGGCTTGGCCCTGGAACTCAGACACACTCAGATACTTCCTCCCTAAACCCCACCTGGCTAATCCCTATCTGCCTAGGTTTGGTTTGGGTGTCACTCCCCCCAGCAGGTCTGCCCTGACTCCCCAGGCTGTTTGGTGCCAATTCTCTTCTCCTCCCCTTCTGGAAAGCTGCCTCCCTCCCCATCCTGGGCCACAGCTTAGCACTCCTGTGACTGCTTCTTGATAAGTCAGGTCTCCTCTACTGTACAACCAAATATCCACAAATGCAAGGCAACCTCAAAATTAAATCAACTCTGCATTTCTCTAATGGGAAGCTAAAAAAGTCTATGACCACTCAAATTTTTAGAATTTATATAATCAAACATCTATTTATAATATTAATTGTATGGATTTAGTTATATGCAAATATTTTGAAATCACCTATCATTTAAAATATGTTAATTAGGATTATTGCTTCTTGTCACTCTTTGCATTTCATGACAGCATCAGCGTCTGTGCCAGCACTAGATCTACTCTTGGAGTTGCACAGCTGACCACCTTCCTGCGTTGTCTCAGCCGTCTGCAGTGCCATACTTGAGTTTTATGCGAGACAACACTGGAAACGTTATCCCAAGTTTCAAGTACAGCTCCATAGCATTGTGGCACATGGGTTGGTTTGTTTGTTTTTTCATTTATCTGGTAAGTGCACATTGATGTCTACAATGTAACCACCTGTTGTATTTTTTTAATGTTCTTTAAAAAAAAAAAAAACACTTGCTTACAAAAACACCCAACATTTGTAATTGTGAGTGCTCCCTCAAAATAATTTCTCAATAAAATCTCTGTTGAAGCTCTTTGCTTCTTTTCTTTTCTGACAGATGACCTCAAAAATAAGCATTTACAGGCAGCACTAAAAAGGTTTGCTTTGGGCGGGCGCGGTGGCTCAAGCCTGTAATCCTAGCTCTCTGGGAGGCCGAGGCGGGCGGATTGTTTGAGCTCAGGAGTTCGAAACCAGCCTGAGCAAGAGCGAGACCCCGTCTCTACTAAAAATAGAAAGAAATTAATTGGACAACTAAAAATATATAGAAAAAATTAGCCGGGCATGGTGGCACATGCCTGTAGTCCCAGCTACTCGGGAGGCTGAGGCAGGAGGATTGCTTGAGCCCAGGAGTTTGAGGTTGCTGGGAGCTAGGCTGACGCCACGACATTCTAGCCCAGGCAACACAGTGAGACTCTGTCTAAAAAAAAAAAAAAAAAAAGTTTGCTTAAGCTGATGCGTCTTCCTTAAGCAGCACTTTCTTGGCCAGCTAACAGAAACACTGCTTTATAAGATGCTCACATACAATGCGATTCCCTCTTTTCTGGAAGATAACTGAGGGGAAACCCCAGCATTGCATTTAAGAACACATGGTGTAAGTGCCAAGGCAAGCACTTCTTGTCCTTTCTGCTACTATACTGTCTCATGCACATGCCTGGCACACACTAAGTGCCTGGCAACTTCTTAGGTGAATGAATGCCAAAAAGCACAGTGAAGCTGCATGTGTGGATTCGACTTCTGTAGATTCAACAGAGTGAGCTTAGCAAAAGGGGCAAAAAGAAGGTAACGAGAATAGAAAAAAGGCCAAGTCCCATGGAACCCTGAAGTGTGCATGCGGCGGGAGATGTGCATTTTTTGTTCCTTGGCTGGCCTCAGTCCGGCGTGCTCCTTCTCATGGCATGGGCATCTTACCACATCGAGTGTGACCCTGCTGTCTGAAGACACAAATCTGAGAACTAGTCCATTTGATGCATAACCAAAGAAGCCACAAATGCTAGAGGAAATGGTGGCTTGAGGACTTACTGACTGTGGGGCGGTCTCCAACAAAGCACCTTCCCTAAGGCATTTTCAAGGGCGGTTCTGATCCTAGGGGAATTTGGTCAGATATGTTCGTTCTAAAACTTTAAAACTCCTCTCCATCCTTGACAAGCTTTCTTGTGAAAACATGAGACTAGATTAAGAATGAGAACAAAGAGTAAGTTCATTATGCATTAAATCAAACCTGGCCATCCAGGACCGTCACCAAGCCGGGCGTGCCAGTCCCCTTACCCCTCATTGTGATGGATCCACAGGTGCCATCTAGTCGGCCCTTCTCAAGCGGGGCCCTTACAGCTACAGTATGCACCTCTGAGATGGCCAGCTGCATTCAGAAGGTAGCCTGTGGCCAAGTAACAGAGCAAAGCCACCTGGTCCAAATCTTGACCTCGCTGTCACCAGGTTCAGGGTGAACCACAAACTGGCCATAGCGAAGCTGTGACCTGATGTTGGCACAAAATCCACAGCAGTAGGACAACCCTATTGCTGCCAAGCTCAGAGCAAAAACACACGGCTCGATGTTACATGGTGCCTCAGTCCCGAAATCACATGTGCGTTTCGAGCACCGCACAGCAGCAGACGCTGAGCTCCCAGTGCTCAGCTCACAACTACTCTGGGACCTCACTCCTCTGCTCAGACCTCTCCACAGTCGCCACCTTGATCTCAGCACTAGATCTCAGCATTAACCTTAGCAAGGTCTTGTTCCAGAGCCTCCTTGGTCGAGCCCTGCTGCCCTCCCGCTTGACCTCTACTATGCCAGAACTCACCCTCTTCCCCTGGCGTCCTCTCCCAAGCCCCAGTGCTTTATCTGCAGCTTTCCGAAAGGGCCCTCTTAAAATCTAACTTTTAAATGCCATCACAGAAACCCATACAACTCTATTTAAATATTCATAGTAGACTATTAAGAAGCAAACAAAAACTTAAAACAGTTACTTTTTCTGGGAGCATCCACCTAAATGTCTAGAAGCCATATATCTAATATAATGGAAAAGGAACGCACCGAATACCAAGTGCTCAGACTTGCCAGCCTTTCCTCTCACTCTGCCCAGGACGAGCTGGTGTTTACCGCAGACGCTCCAAAAATTTAAACCCCACTGGCCATGCAGGCACCTACTACACCCACATGTCAATTTTTCTTTAAAAAAATAAAGAAAGAAAAAAGAAGACCCATACAGATTTATTCCACTGAAATGAGCTCCAATTAAGTAGTATATTTAACTGGAATAGTTACTCTGAGACTACTTTTTCACAGAGTAACTATTAATATTGACTGATTGTTTTATGCTACAAAGTATTTCCATACCATTGGTAGTACTAAAAATTCAAGTGTGGGAACTTGAAACACAATGTGTTCCTTACATACATTGTTAATAAATGATGGCTATGACCCAGACTGGCCCACAAAAGATGACTTAACTCCAAATGAGATGAAACATAGCCAGAGCCTGAATATGAGGCACAAAGGCTTCTCTTACTTTGAAAGGCACGATTTCTGAATAGGCCAGAAGGTACCAACAGGTACCTTTTCTCTACACCTTGCTATTATACATCCCTCTCCCAAGCCCTGGGGAAGAATACCAAATTCTGCACTAAGCACACCCAGGCCATTCCAACATCTCGAATTGTCTTGTGCCCTAAAATTACGGTTTTCTGCTCTGGCCTACAAGAACTTCCCTTCCTCAGGGCACCCAGGCCCTGGCAGGAAAGCACTGCATGTGCCTGAGTGAGTGACAGGAAGCCCTTCCCATGGAATCCTTCTCAGGGTAGGGGGCTCTTGGGTCGGCAGTGAGGCCCACACCAAAGCCCCACCTAGCGAACCAAAGCAGGAGGTTATCATCCGTTTAATAGGGTGACTTTTCCCATCTCACATTTTACAGATGACCTGGCCCCAAGGGAGCGGAGGGGAGGAGGTGACAGATGACAGCCCTGAGTCGAGAGCAGTGGGCTCCGTGGCCCAGCGCAGAGCTCACACCCACTGCAAGCTGCGGGGGGTCGCCAGGATTCGCACCGGTCTCGGCTTCCTGGGTAGCTACAGGAACCCTGCTCCCCGGGCCACTCCCGGCTACTCCACGAAACACGCCCAGAGCGGGAACTCACACCTTCCCGAGTTCCTGCTTTCCCTCTGAACCCTCACGAAGGGCACACGGTCCACAGCCCTGTCTTTAGCCGCCGGCAGGAAGGGCCCTCCCGCCGGCGCACGTGGCCCCGCGGTCCCGGCCCACTGGCGGGCCGCCGCGTCCGGCCGGCACAGGAAGTTTGGGGCGCGGGGCAGGGGCCCGCCGGGCTGACGTCTGGGGTCCCAGCTGCCGGAAAGGGTGACGACCCCACCTTCCCGTCCCTCGGTTCCCAGCCGGGAGCCGGGAGCGCTCGGGAGCGCGGGGCAGCGGCGGCCTTTTCCCGGCTCTCCCCTCGGGGACCGCCCCTCCTCCCGCACCGCGCCGGCCGCCGAGCGCCACGTCAGCCCGAGCGCCCGGCCCCGACCCGGAGCCCGCAGCGCCCACGCCCCCGGCTCCCGGCCCGGCCTGCGCCGGCAGTTACCAGGGCGCGAAGAACATGACGAAGTGCGCGGCGCTCCGGATCCCGTGCGTGAACATGTCGGCCGAGTACAGGTGCTTGGCGTGCGGGTCCTGCCCGTCCGCCGCCGCCTCCCCGGCCTCCCCGGCCCCGGCGCCCCAGCGCCCGCCGCCGCCGTGGCCCAGCAGCAGCAGCAGCAGCGCGGCCAGGGCCGGCGGCCGGGCCCGCGGCGGGAGGAGGCGTCCTGGGCGCGCGGGCATCGCGGCGGGGCTGGGCGCGCTCTCGCCGCGGCCGCCGGTCCCTCCGCGCCGCCGCCTCCCACTGCCCGCCCCGCGCCCCGCCCCGGAGAGGCCGCGCCCCTTCCTCCCCCGCCCGCGCCGGCGCGCGCCCGCCCCCCGCGCCCCTGCCCGGCCCGAGTCCGCGAGCCCGCTGGGAAGGGAGCGAACGACGGGACCGAACCTACAGGTCCTTCGGCGCGCGGCCTCCAGCACTTCCCGGGACGGGCCGGTTCGCCTAAATCCCGCGGGGGCCCGTGGCCCTCCCCAGACCCAGGCCCCTGACCGGCCTTTCTCTCGGAGCGACCGTGAGCACCCACGAAGGAACGAGGAGGCCAGGCAGGGAAGCCACAGAGGGGACTGTCGGCCTCGGTTAACGTCAGCACACAGACACCCCGGGACTTCAGGCCAAAGGAAGAAAAGAGCTGCTGTCAGCAGAATGTAGGAAATTGGGCAGAAGTGGCTGGGGTTTACACCTGAATGAGTCAGACACTTGGCCAGACCTCAACTGCGATTCCGATCCGGGCCTGGGCTCAGAGGGCTGATGAAACCGGCTTCCCAAGTGAACTCTGGAAAGGTCAGAGCAGCCTCTAGTAGATGAGAAGGGCTCTTTGCAGCACTGGCCCATGTCCTGGGCCCTAACTCATCCCAGTGACCAAATGAATGTTGACACGCCTGCTCTGGCTGAACTCAGCCTTGTGGAATGGCCAGAGGGCATGCCCGGCACTGGGCACCTCATAACTCACACCTGCACACACACCTTATGGCAGGTGGTAGTTGAAATCCCAGCCCTGCCCTGAGGATCTGAAGCGAAAGGAGGGTGAATCACCAGGTTGCTTCCCAGACTCCTGCTAGGTCTGTGATTATCCTCAATCCGGGAGGCCCCAGGTAGTAACTCTGGGCGTGGCAACAGGGTCAGTGCCTATTGACTCACCGGTCATTATTCTGCTCCAGCCCTAGTTTCAGCCACTTGTGAACCTTTAACCATGGTTTGCCAAACACCAAAATCATCAGTTTCCCTCGAAAACCTACTCTCCCAGCCACCCAAGCTTGAATGGTGGGAGGCATCTCCCATTACTCCATCCTTTCCCTGTGTCCCTTGTGTCTCAAGAGTCAAAACAACCACATTTCTTGCAACTGTCATTTCCGTGTTCATATCCTGAGTAGACCCTAAACCTGGCCTATTGCTATAGCTTTCTAAGTGTCTCCTTCGTTCACATGGCTAGAAAATGAATTTTCCTAAAGCCTGCATTTGATCAACACAGTTTGCAGCTTAAACTCGGACCAACACACCACCACTGTCCCCATGGCCTTGGCCTATGGGGTAAAACACAAATTCCTTGGGCTGCCATTCAAGACCTTCCGTGATGTGGTTCTGTCATGCCTCATGTCCCTGTGAAACTTGCCACTAGAAATCCAGGGATTCTCTCCAATAATCTGTTGTTGCCAGACGCTAATCGCTATGCTCTCCAACGCCTCATACCTTCCAAACCTTTCCACTGGGCCATCAGGAAATTCCAACAAAGGATTACCATACACAATTCGTATGGCATCAACGTCTTTCCTTATCTTAATAGAAACAGCTCTAGGAGCCCTCTCAAGTGCTGGCTGCTCGTTCTTCCACACCTGGAGTCCCTCAGAGCCAGAAAGGAAGGCAGGCACCTTCCCTCTTCCCCGCTGCTCCTTCCAAATCATTTCTCCCCCTTCCTCCTACAAACCTGCAGCTCTCCTTAAATTGATGCTATTGGCTGTGACAGCCTCTGTGCTTCCAGTTCCTGTGTTCTTCCACATCACTCCCCCGCATTCACTGCCGACTTTGGTTCCTGGTTCATAGTGTTCCTGGTAACCGCTTTCCTGTCTTTATTGCAGGTATTTTCAGCATCTGGGTGATGAGCCATCTGTCTGTCCCTCTGTAACTCCCTCCCAAAGTGCTTGTCATCACCAGCATCTGCACCATCTCCAAAATCTGAAGTAAAAGCATCCCACCCTGCGTGGCACCTCCTAGATTTGCAGTTCACGTGCAAAAGAAACCTACTTCTGCTATGCTTCTCCCTCACTGTGACCTCTGAGCTAGTGATCCCACCATCTCATAATCCCTTCCCAGTCCTCCAGACAGCTATGGCCTCCCTGCTCCTGACCAATCAGATCCCAGAGATCCTCATCCTGCATGTCCTGCCTCGCCAGAGACGCTGCAGAGCCTCGTGTTTGCTTTCCTTGTGCCTTTAACAGTGGCCAAACTCTGCTGGAGAAAGCCCACACAACCAAGCAGCAACTTTGCCTTCACATTCATGAAAATAAGCCTTAAATTCCTACTCAGCCCTGCCCAGAAACTGATAGCGTTTCTCTAGGCTGTCACACTCTCTGACCTGCTGCTGCCATACTCCCACTGACATGGCCCCCAAATCCCCATCAGCACCATCTCTCAGTTGTCAACTGGACCTCGTACTTCTCCCAGAAAAGTGAGGCCAAAAGCATGAGGTCCTTCATCTTTCCACTGTCAAACCTGCATGCCCCTATGCAGGCACTTTCCCCATCTTCCCTGTGCTCACACGGGAGGACTGTCATGTCCCTGCCTAGCAAAGGCCAGTCCTCCAGAGTAGCGCCTCCGCCACAGATATCCAGGTCCTGATTCCTAGAACCTCTGATGGTTACTTTATATGGCAGAAGAGACTTTCCAGGTGCGGTTAAATTACAGATCTTGAGCTGGGGATATCTGGTCTATCTGGGTGGGCCCTAAATATTATCACACGTGTCTTCGTAAGAGAGAGGCAGAGGGAAGTTTGGCTACAGAGGAGGAGATGATGTCACAAAAGCAGGGAGAGATTTGAAGATACTACATTGCCGGCTTGGAAGCGGGAGCAGGGTGCCCTGAGCCGAGGAATGTAGTGCTAGATGCTGCTAGATGCTGGAAAAGGCGAGGAAACTATCCCCCTAGAGCCTCCGGAGGGACCTGCGGCCGTATGGACAAGGTGACTTTAGTCCATAAAACTGATTTGGGACTTCTGACCTCCAGAACTGTTAGAGAGTCAATGCGTGTTGTTTTAAGCCACCAAGTTGGTGGTAACTTGTTTCAGCAGGCGTGGAGCACTCAGGCGCCCTCCCTGCTCACCTGCTCAAGGGCTGTGCTCTTTCAGTTATCGCATTTTTCTCTCCTGCACAAACTGTCAACCGCTGCCTCCTACTGGATCATCTCCATCAAGGCACAGATGTGCTTTCGCATCTCCCAACTTAAAAATAAAGAAACTCCCTGACCTTAAGTCCCCCTAGTTACTGCTATCCCGACTCATTGTTTTCCTTCACAGCAAAACCTCTTTGAAAAGTTCTCTGCACTTTGCTTTCCACAAGTCCTCCAGCCCAGGCCACCCTGGCCCCCAGACCCACCACACACCAAATCTGCTCTTCTCAAAGTCACCAAGGATTCACATTGACAAGTCAAAGGAACACTTTGCTCGTGTCCCTGGCCCTCTTAGGGCCATCGACATTGGCACCACCTGAATCTGCTGTCCCTTCAGCTTCTCTGATTGGCCTCCACCACCTTTGGATGTTAGCTTCTCAGAGCTCAGCCTCCAGCCCACTTTTCTCTCTCTGCGCTCACTCCCGAGGTGACCCTATTCACTGCCATGGCTCTAAATACCATCTCTGTGCTGATGACACCAACATCCACACAGCAGTGAGGCCTCTCCCCGAGCCCTCACTGCCTCCTGATTCCTCCTCTTATTTGCCTTGCACGCACCCCAAAACCGAACTCGTGTTCCCCATGGCAATCTGCTTGTCCCCTGGCCTCTCCGCCTCAATAAACAGTGCTTCCTTGCTGTTTGTTCAAACCAGAAACCTGGGCTGCAAACTTCCTTCCCCTTTTTCCTCCCTGCGACACCTTGACCGCCACCCCGTGCCCCATCTTCCCACCGGCAAGTCTGGTCCTTTCCAGTTCTGAGCTACACTTCCCACTGACTTACTCCCTGTCACCCCCACCACATCTTCTCATCCTACCCACTTCAGTAGTCCCCCGAGTCCCTGCGACCTGTCCTTTGTACGGCAGCGAGGACCGAATCATATCACTCCTTCACTTAACTTCCTTCTGTGGCTGCCTTTTCACGTAGAATAAAATCCCAGCTCTTTGCCTTGGTTTTCAGGAGATTTCAGGAAAGATGCAGTCTCATCCCAGACCACTGTGCCCTCTGTTCCCCTAGATTCTAGCCATTTGGGATGATTCTAAACACCTTCCGCGAGTGCCACAGGCCTCTCCAGCACCGTGCGCTTTAGTTTCTGCGTGGCCCTTTTCATGATGTGATGCCATTTTGCTGCAGATTCATGTGTTTAGTTGGTTAACTGGCCCTCTTCTCCATCAGTAAGCCCCATGAAGACTGGAGGGTATCTGTCACACCCACCACTTTCTCCCTAGACCCCAAATGCCTACACGTAGTAGATGCTCAACAAGTGTTGGACGAAGGAATCCGTCTAACCAGGCCCCACTAGGACTTGATGACTCACTGTGCCTCCACCGGCCCTCACGTGCTGCCTTCCCTACATGACTGATGCACCCCCTAACCTCCCCCTCGGCTACTGTGCTCTCCTCTCCCTCTGAACCCCCAGCCCTGCTGAGAGGTTGACATGCTGCTTCATATGGTAGCAGCTACAAGTGGCCCCGCCTAGATGCCCACTTTGATCAGCCTGGCTTCCAGCTCAAAGGAGCCTAAAAATGGAGACACAACTGCATGTTTACGGCAATGAAGTAAGCGTAAGTTTCTCAGGAAAGACTTCCCTGACTGCCAGCCGGGGTTAGCACCCCCTGCACTGTGCTCTCCTAATACGCTGTCCTTTCTCTCCATATCCCTTTGCAGAACAGGAATTATTTGCTTGCGTAATTTTTTGTTTTGTGTCAGCCTTTCCCCCTAGACTGTAAGCCCCGTGGGATGACGGGTGTGAACGTGATGTCTAGCGCACAGCAGGCATTTATTTAATAGCTGTTTGTTGAATGAATGAGTGAAGGAATGAATGAGAAGTCACATTTGTCTACCTTC